CACACAAAGGAATCTGTGTGAATCCTGCCATCAAATAGCTCGCATCTGAAAATACAGTTTCTGGATTGAAGGAGATTCACTCCCTGGGAAAGATTAAACTTCCACAGATGAACAATTCTGGTACTGCCTAAGGCTAAATATGTGTTACAGAGTCATTCCTAAAGAGCTGAGAGGAAAGAGAAATAGGGCTAGGGAGCACAAGGATGAAGCACTACAGGAGGTAGGGTTTGGGATAGAACCTGAGAAAAGGGGAAGAATTGCTATTGAGGTGACAGGACAGGCAAAAGTGCACATATAAAAATGAGTTAAACATGTAGGGGATCAGTCAGAGAAATCTGACCAAATAAAGGAAAAGGGGTGTGAAGTTAGACAGAAAACAGAATAAAGGGTTTGATTGGAAGAACAAGCCCAGTGAGTTTGGACTTCATTCTATAGGTACTTGGGTGCTATTGAGACTCTAAAAGCAATGTGATGAAAACATTTTTTTGTTGTTGTTAACTATATTACTCCAGTGATGTTGTGCAGACGGATTGAGGCAGGCAACAAGTAAAGATGTTTTGGGGAATGTCGTATTAAATGATGTAAGGTACTCACTTTAATGGTTAAAATATAAAAGATGTTGTGCAAGAGAAATGTTTTTACTAGTGTAAGAAGATCTCAGATCCTAATATTAAAACATTTTTATTTCTTTTTAATTATAAGATTAGTTGTCCAGGATAAAGCTATAAGGGATGCAGCAATAAAAAGTATGTAATATTGATATATGTTACAACATGGATGAATCTAAAAAACATGCTAAGGCTAAGAAGCCAAATGAAATAGTGAATGATTCCCTTTATATGACATGTCCAGAAAAGGAAAATCTATAGAGACAGAAAGTAGATTAGTGGTTGCCTGGGAGTAGGAGTCGAAAAGGGAATGATAGAAAGGGATCTTTTTGGGACAGTGGATATGTTCAAGAACTAGATTATAACAATGATACGCAATTCTGTAAATTTACTGAAAATCATTTAATTAAAAACAACAAGTATGCAAATGACCATAAAGATGTTTTAAAAAGAAAGAGATTGTTAAAATATGGGCTTGGAGTTCAAATACCTGGATTTGAATGTTGGCTCTACAAGTTGTTTCCTGTGTGATTGTGGACAAGTACACAGACAAAATTATCTATGTCTCAATAGCCTCCTTTCTCAGAACCAATGACACATACTCCATTTGAGTTTCCTAATGATAATGACTAAATAAGTCTTGAGCTTAGTCTTGAGCAAGATAAACTCTCATGTAGTGTGGATTCTAAATGCATAATTATCTAATGAAGGAGAATAGATGATTGACTTAAAATTATTTGATCAGAAAGCAACATTGTCTATATAATTTGTAATGTTATTGATAATGTTTGTGATGTATGAACTGTTTAAAATACGGTTAATAGATTTAGTTGAGAGAACCTCTTCCTCCAGATTTAATTTAATTTTTTAAAGTTTCATTGTAGTTAGTTTGGGTATGTATCTTAAAGGTTTATTTAAAAGCTGAACTTATTATTTTGTCTTTACAGTCTTATATTATAATTAGTTGTATTTTGGAATAGTAGATCAGATTATGATTGACATAGTCAAGCATTTTCAACCTATTTTCTTGATCTCCATGTTGATCATGAAATGGCCTTAACTGGGATGTTAGCATAGAAAAATGCTACCTTAATTGACAAAGCATATTTTAAAAATTGAATGACATATCCTGCATTCTAGAAATTAGTAAAAGTTTTATGCAGAATAAGTAATAGTAAAATGTAACTTGAAACAAGGTAGCAAAAATGGATCCATTGAAGCAATAAAAGAAAAACACCAAGCACCCCCAAAATGAGAATTAATTGTATTACCAAAGTTTGCAAATTGGTTGCTTGTAGCTTTGAATGCATTTTCCTTAAGAAACAATGATATGAAGGGTACTTGGTTTCTAGTTCAAGCTTGGATTCTAGTTCACGAAAGTCCCTGTAACCCATGATGAAATGGCATGTGTTTGTAACAGTATTTTAAATTTTTAAACCCCATCAAGTCACCTTTATAGTGATTTTGCAAGAAGATAAATTCTAAGCTCCCACCCAAGGATAATGGGGTTCTCAAAGCCTTTATATCCTCATGTGTGTAGGGCTATAGATGGCTAGGTAAAAATGATCTCAAGGCACCATTAATTTATGATGTTTATAAGTAAAGGGATCTACCTAAGTTTGCTCCATAAGTTGTGTTTTTCTGATTGAAAAGGTAGTCGTATAGGCATAGTTGCACTTCACAAGTTGAGTTTCCTACTTTTGTCTTCTTTTAGTCAAAATGGCACCAGAGCTCTACCGGATGATAGGGTGATAAACTTGTATATCTTTAAATGAGGACTACTTACTGATCTACTATAGCCTACATCCAGGATCTCCCTCTGGCTCTGGGATTGTCTGGGAAGACGCTAAAGAGAGCCTAATACCTGAAAGATTGCCACTCTGCAGTTTCTCAGATCACCTCAATAACACAGTTGGGGGAGGGAAAAGAACTTCTATACCTGCAAAAGTAGAGCCCCAACTTGTTCCCCTTTGCTTTGGCTCATTGCTGTTGTGTGGAAGCAGAAGGTCTACTCTGGGCCTCCCTGACACTCCCCTGGCAGGGATTGCAGAGTGCAGTGGCACTGCCTTGCACCATTGACTTTGCTTCCTGGTGAGGGTGGAGGTCAAGCTACTCATTCAGCCTCTCTGATACCAACTCAGTTGGGGAAGTGGAGGGTCAACTCATTTTGCCTCATTGTCCCCTAGTAAGATAAGAAGTTCAACTCCTGCTCAGTCTCACAGGCACCAAGGAGAGCGATAGACAGTTTTTCCTTTGGTGCCAGCTGGACTATGGTAGATATTTAGAATCTAAAGAGTTTTTTGTTCTGGTCGGCTTCCCTTTTCTCAGTTCTTTGGTTGGAGGGAGCAGACTTTCCTTGGAGCTATTTTGGTTTGTGCCTACTGGCAGTTTGAGGTCACTGGCTTCACCAGGGCCTCCACTAAGACATATGGGAGATGAGGAGAAAACCCAGAAATTCATCACAGTTGTTGTCCCTCAGGTCCTGAGGTCCCGAGCCAGGCAGCTTTTTTTTACCTTCCAGAGTCTTACTATGTTTGTTTGTTGTTTATGTCCAGGATATTTTAGTTGAAATAGGGAGAACCTCAGTTTTAAATATTTTATAATTTATATTGTGATGCACTTTTAAATTATAAATTCCTCAGGTATACATGTTATCATTTTCAAAATTTAACTTTTTATGACTGATTTGCAAATTAATTGCAACATTTAAAGAGAATGAGGACCTTAACAGATATGGTTTCTTTTAAATTTTTTGAGATTCTATTTTCTGGATTTAAAATGCTCAATATATGCAAAAATGTATATTTTTATATCACGGGTACTCATGTTTATATTGTACATTTGTGTGTGTGTGTGTGTGCACAAGTGTGTGTACAGCAACTTGAAAATAATGTATGTTTTCTATTTTATAAGGGTAGGTATGTCTATGCGTATACGTTTTAGTATTTTCACACATACCTGTTTTGCCAAAATTATTTTGTTTAATATTTTTAGTATAGAATAGTTCGTCCCCTTAAGTTCCCTGTTTTTGATACATAGAAATGTGCTAAAATCAAGTACAATAATTGTGGTTTTGTCAGTTTATTTTCAGCACAGATGTCTACAGATGCCCTGCTTATTTTGAGACTATGTTGCTAGGTACATATAAGCATTGATGATTTCCTCTTGATTGATTTTATTCTTTGTGGTCCTATTATGAATGAAATTGTTTTCTTAGTTTTATGTTTGGATTGTTCATTGCCGGTATATAAAATACGACAAATTTTGTAAATTGATATTGTGTATACAACCTTGCTAAATGTGTTTATTAGATCTAATAGTTTTTGTGAATACCTTTGGGTGATATACACACACACACACACACACACACACACACACACACACACACACACCCCTTAGGATGGTGTGTGTGTGTGTGTGTGTGTGTGTGTGTGTGTGTGTGTGTGTGTGTGTAATGTGACAATTAAGTTCACAAACTCACCACTGTGCTCTTTTGTTGACAGCATTATACAAACAACTCGGTAAGGTTTTATAACCTTGGTATATCAGTGTCTCACAGTTGTGCTTGTGTCGTGTGGAAATGTTTTGCTGAATGGCACTCGTATGTTTTTGTGTGCCATCACAAGAATGTCAGAGCTCAAATTAGAGCAATGAACAAACATTAAATTTCTCACTAAACTTGGCAACCCCTTGGGGTACCCTCCCACTATGGGAGTTTTCCTGTCCTCTCAATAAATCCTACTTTCTCAAAAAAAACCAAAAAAACAAAAAAAACTTGGCAAGAGTGAAAGTTAAATCAGGGACATGCTAGTCCAAGATTATGAGGCTAATACCATGAAGAAAATGGCAGTGTACAAATGGATTAAACATTTTTTTCTGAGAGGAGAAGAAACATCACTGATGAAGAGGTGTCAGGATGGCCAGTAACAAACAGAATTTACAAAAACATTGCAAAAATTCATCGAATTGTGTATCAGAATCATTGCTGACTGTGAAAAGAATAACAGACCAAATAAAAATCAATAAAGAAACAAAAAATCTTAACAGAAAATCTTGGCATGAGAAAAGTGTATGCAAAAATGGTCCAGAAGGAACTCTTGCATCACAACAATGTACCAACTGACACGACACTGTCTGTGAGAGAGTTTTTAGCCAGTAAACAAATAACTGTACTGGAACACCCTACTCACCTGATCTGGCCCCCAGTGACTTTTTTCTTTACCCAACAACAAAGGAAATATTGAAAGGAAGACATTTTGATGGCATTCAGGCCATCAAGGGTAATACAACAGCAGCTCTGATGGCCATTTCAGAGAGTCCCAAAATTGCTCCAAAATGGGTGGACTAGGCACTGGTGTCAGTGCATAGCTTTCCAAGGGAAGTACTTCAAAGATGACTGTAAGGATCTTCAGCAATGAGGTATGTAGCACCTTTTATAGGATGAGTGCATGAACTTAATTGCCAGACCTTGTAAGCCATCTGTAAATAGAGACAGATGTTCTTCCTTCTTTCCAATCTGGATTCTTCTCTAATTTACTTTTTTTCTTAATCACCCTGACTAGAACTTCCAGTATAATGCTAAACAGAAGTGACAAGAAATTCTTGTTCCTAATCTTGAGGGAAAGCATTTGTCTTCCACAATTAAGTATGAGGGGGAACTCCCCAAAATTTGGAATTATCTTTTGGAGAGCAGGCCCCTTGTAGTACAGGCTTCCACTGCTGGGTCAGTGTACTAGCTAGTGTTGTTGGGAGAGGCTGCATTCTGCTTTAGAGCTTTTTTTTTTTTTTTTTTTAGATTTTTTTTTCAATGCGTTTGCCCATTTCATGATGTACAACACGCAGCCATGAAATTTTGTTTTCTGTTGCGAAAAAAATGCGGTAGAAATGGTGTTGGGCTACAGACAGCTTACAAAGACAATTTTCTGAGTTTATGAACGCTTTTCCCATTTAAAATAAGGTGAAACCAGGCACAGTGTCTCACACTTGGAATCCCAGCACTTTGGGAGGCAGAGGCGAAAAAGATTGCCTGAGCCCAAGGGTTCAAGATCAGCCTGGGCAAACTTGGTGAGACTTCATCTCTCCAATAAATCAAAAAAATTAGCCTAGCATGGTGCTGTGCACCTGTGATTCCAGCTACTTGGAAGGCTGAGGCAGAAGGATTGCCTGAGCCCAACAGTCGAGGCTGCAGTGGCAATGAGTGTGCCACTGCACTTTAGCCTAGGCAACAGACTTTGACTCAAAAAAAGAAAAAAAGTGAAATGTCAATTGACAATCAACCTCATTCTGGGTATCCTTTGACCTGCCAAACTGAAGAAAATCTGGTACGAATTCTTCAAATCATCTTGGAAGAATGCTGTTGGACTATTGACTATTGATGAACTTGTGAAATGGACTAGGGTGTCATGGAGTTTCCCGTCAGTGAATTTTATTTGAAAATTTCCACAAGAAATGAGTTTTAGCAAAATCCATGTCTCACCTGCTCATGCCTGAACAAAGAGACAATCGCTTGACTACCCACCATGCTTTGAAGAAGCAGTTGGAGGTTAACCTTGATTTTTTTTTTTTTTTTCCAAAATCATAAGTGGAGCTGAATCTTGGTTCTACGGTTACAACCCTGAAATGAAACAACAGTCTAGGAAATGGAAAACTGCCACTTTCCCACAACCCAAAAAAAGCACACGTGAACTCAAATGTGAAGATAATGATTATTTGTTTCTTTGATGTGAGAGGGATTGTGCACTCAGAATTTGTTTCTCCAGATCAAATGGTCAACCAAACTTTTTATCTGGAACTTTTGAGTAGGTTGTGTCACAATTTACAGAAGAAACGTCATGAGTTTTGGCAAACAGGTGGCAGGTTCTTCTACCATGACAATGCATTTTTCCACGCCACTTTGAGTGTTCTACAGTTTTTGATGAAAAAATGGCATGACCCCCATGCCCCACCCTCCCTGTTTACCCAATCTCACCCCCAGAGACTTTTTAGTTTCTCCAAAGGAAAAAAAATCCTCAAAGGGAAATGTTTGCCTATGTGGAAGAGGTGAAACAAAAAGCAACAAAAGCACTAAAGGATACCAAAATTGATGAGTTCAAAAACTGTTTTGATCAGTGGAAAAAGCATCTCAACAGATGTATTGCATCAAGTAGCAAGTACTTTGAAGGTTACTGAAGTTTAAACATGTAAAAATAAATACACAATTTAAAAATATATTCTGTTTTTTCTGAGGGAGTTCCTTCTCCTTACCCCTCCCCCACACTGTATAATGTTACGTGTGGGTTTTTCATAGATGTCTTCCATCAGGTTTACTACTTTGTTGTGTATTTTTTATTATAAAACTGTGTTCGATTTTTTACAAATGTTTTTTCCGCATCTTTTAAGATGATCATATGTTTTATTCTTTATTCTGTTAATATGATGCATTATGTTAATTGATTTTCTGTTAAACCAACTTTGTGAAAAAAAAATACTAGTAGATTATGGTGTAAAATTCTCTGCGTATATTGTTGGATTTGGTTTGCTAGTATTTTGTTGAGGATTTTTTTGCTTATAATCATATGGGTTATTGATCTGTAGTTTTTTTATTTTGTGATATCTTTGTTTTCAGTATCAGGGTAATACTGGCTACCTAGTATAAGTTAGGAAGTGTTCCCACCACTTCTATATTTTTAAAGTATTTGTGAAGAATCAATTTTAACTCTGCTTTAAATGTTTGGTACTTCACTGTTTGAATTTAACAGTGAAGCCATTTGGATCTGGCCTTGACCGCCTGTGCTCAGGTCGTCCTTCTGCCTCGGGCTCTTGACTAGCTGGTACTACAGGTGCGTGCCACCACATCTGTCGTGTGTGTGTGTGTGTGTGTGTGTGTGTGTGTGTGTGTGTGTGTGTACAAATGAGGGCTCACTATGTTGCTTAGGCTGGTCTCAAATGCTGGGATTACAGGCATGAGCCGCAGTACCCAGGCTGTTTTTCTTCTTATACCAGTTTTGGTAGTTTATGTCTTTCTAGGAATTTGTCCAATTCATCTTGATTTTTTAATTTGTTGGCATATAGCTATTCATAATATTCTTCTTTAATCTTTTTACAAGTTTATATAAGATAAGTGATGATGCTCCCTCTTTCATTACTTTGTGTATCTATACTCAAGGGGAAATATCCACGTCAAAAGATTTATGGCAATGGAAGTTTTGGCAATGGAATTGAGGCATGGCACACATGATTTAAAAATGTGATATCATTCGGGCTCGGTGGCTCAGCCTGTAATCCCGCACCTTTGGGAGGCTGAGGTGAGTGGATTGCCTGAGCCCGCGGGTTCGATACCCGCCTGGGTGGCGAGACCTCATCTCTACACAAATAAA